CTGTCCCATTAAAGTGATGCCCTTCAACTGGGGACAATATAGCACGGGACAACATTTTTTAAATTCATACCTCCAGCTGTAAAGAGACAAAGTTTACTTCTCCCAGGTCACCCACTTATGCAAGGTTGCACTTTCAAAATGGCTAAAATTAACATTTCAGAAGTAGGAGTAGAATTTGGTCTCATCTTTCTTAATTTCTCCTAATAGTTGATTAGCAACATGTATTTTGTTAATTATTTCATTTTTGACAGCTGCTCAGGTTAGTACAGGCAAAGCAGTAATTTAAAACAGCTTTTGGTAGGTTTGTGCAATAACAGTGAAAAGCAAAGCCTGAAGGAAGCTTTTATAAATATCTATAAATAGAGATATTCCTTGACACTTAGTTACAGTTCAAAGTTACAACAGCACAGAAAAAAGTAACTTATGAGCATTTTTCACACTTATGACTGTTGTAGCATTCCCATGGTCACATGATCAAAATTTGGATGCTTGGCAACTGGCTCCTATTTATGATGGCTGCAATGTCTCAGGGTCACCTGATTACCTTGACAAGCAAAATCAATGGGGAAACCAGATTCCTTTAAGAACAGTATTACTAACTGCAGAGATTAACTGCAGCAAGAAAGGTCATAAAATAGAGCAAAACTCATTAAACAAATGTTTTGCTCAGCAATAGAAATTTTGGGCTCAATTGTCGTCGTAAGCTAACTAAGGTGATTCAATCCAAAAATAAAAACTACTCTGCAGTTATCTTGACACTAACAGTAACACATATGCAATCCATAAACAAAAAATCTGCTATCTATCATGTTTCACATAGATAAATTATTTATGTAACTTCTTACTTTTTAAATCTTTCCAACAGCAAATGTTGCACTCTATTTAACAGTACTAAGTAGAATTCAAAAGGGAAAATAAAGAAAAAACTGATTTTTGTTAAGCCCTAAAAAGTATTGTAGCATTAATTCTGCAGGTCAGAAATAGATTCTTCATAAAAATAGTTTTACGAATCAAACTCAAAAGTTTACAAAAAGGAATGTATATTTTTTTTAAACTATTGTAAGTTAATCTGCTTTAGATCTAAACTTAGTAATGCTTAGTGCAGAAGCCTTACAACAAATTAATGAGGTCTAACTCAAGTGATCCAACCTACAGCACTGAATTAAATATACATGCCCCAGATGTGTATAAATCCAGAAGTCCTGGAAGCAGGATTTGTTTTCAGGTTAGACAAAAGTTATGCTTTTCTAAATTAGGCTTTAGAAGCAAAGCATGCTTTACTTATTACTTAATACAGTCTTGTATTTTACCAATTCACCTGAAAGACATAAAGGAAAAAGAAATTCCATGTGTTCAGCAAGTAGGTTGGTAGAAAATGAAAATATAGAAATTACCAATCGCAGTTGGGACCGGCAACTCCACTACTAAGCAATGTGGTCATGAAGTGAAACATCATGTGATCACACTAGACTTATGTCATTTCCGCTGCAGTCATTAAGCAAATCATTGCAGCTTGTTAAGCACAACATCATTTCACTATAATTTGTGACTTCCTGCTGGCTTCCCCATTGTCTTTGCTTGTTGGAAGTCAGCTGTGAAGGTTGTAAATGACGATCATGTGACTGTGAGATGCCATGACTGTTGTAAATTTGCATCAGTTGCAATGACTTCAGGGATGCTGCAATGGCCACAAGTGCAAGGACCAGTTGTAAACTTACTTTCTGAGCACTGTTGTAGCTTTGAAAAGTTGCTTAACAAGACAGTCAGTGAAGACTACCTATAGAAGAGGAGGAGACTGGACTGTCATCTGTTAGGAATGGTGTAGGGTCTCTAATTGACTTACAAGGTCCCTTCCAACCCTATTATTTTTTTGTCTTTTCGCTACTAATAAGTTTAGTAACTTGATAACTTTTTGTAACCTGTTAAAACTGTCAGCCTGAATTTTAGTTGGTGCTGAAAGAACGGTTAAAGCAGTGGTTCCCAAACTTTTTCAGTCCATCGCCCCCTTGATGCTACAAATTCATCCTCAATGCCCCCCACCCAGGGGCGGGATTCAAATTTCTGTGGGCGTGGCCTAATTTGAGGGTGTGGTTTGCTGGTCACGTGACTGGGTGGGCATGGCTTGCTGGTCACGACTGGGTGGGCGTGGCTTGCTGGTCACGTGACTGGTGGCACGGCTTGCTGGTCACGCGACTGGTGGCATGGCTTGCTGGTCACGTGACTGGGTGAGCGTGGTTTGGTGACTGGCAAACCAAATACAAGTGGTCCTCACTTAATGGCCGGTTGCTTAGCAAGTGTTCTAATTTATGACTGGCCTTCCCAGAACTACTTGACCTGTTTTTGGAGTTTTGACAGCCATGCACACACATATACACATACTCCCTTCCAACCCTGCTGGAGCAGGTGATTGGCCTAGAATCGGCAAAGCAACTCTGATTAGATTCTAGTAGTGAATAAAATCTAATCAGAGATGTTTTGCCGATTCTTGTTGATTTGTTTTATTTGAATTTCTTTATTTTATGTTGCTGAATTGCATTGACATGTGTGTCCCTTCTTGTGCACAACCCAGAAGCTTTTGTGATTCTTTGCAGCAAAAATTACCGACCTCTGGCTTTGCTCTACTTTTCAAACGTGCCAGCACTGCTGCGTTCTAGGTGCCGGCCCCGCAGGTCCATCCCATTGAGCCCGCTGCACTGGAGGGACCTGCCCAAGGAAGTTCGAGCGGAGCAGTGCACCAAATCAATGAGGTAAGCCTGGGAGAGGGAAAGAGAGAGAGAGAAAAGAAAGAGAGAAAGAGTAAAGGAAGAAAAGAAAGAGAAAAGGGAAAGAAAGAAAAAGGGACAAAGAAAGGGGGGGATGGAGGGGGGAGGGGGAGAGAGGGAGAGAGAGACCTGATGCATCAGATTGAAATGAGGCCTAGTTTAGAGGCCCTTTTCCACATTGAAACATCTTTGCCAGCATCTTTGCCAGCACATTGAAATATCTTTGGCTTCTATTAATTAAAGGTTTTATGGACGAAACATGGCCAAGACTATCAGAAAGCTCTCAAATTTTATTGAGGCTTTAAACAGGATCCATTGGAGCAGATCTTCACCCTAAAAAATTACTTTTTCCCAATGTATTACAGTGCCAATTCTGAAGAAGGCAAAGCCAAAATGTATTGGTAAATTACGAGAACACACACACATACACACAGACACACACACACACACCCTTCTAACCCTGCTGGAGCAGGTGATTGGACTAGAATAGATATCTCATTATCTTTCTTCTTCCTTCCTCCTTTATTTCTTTTTCTTTCTGTCCCTTCCTTCCATCCCCCCTCTTTCTTTGTCCCTTTTTCTTTCTTTCCCTATTCTCTTTCTCTTCTTCCTTCTCTCTTCCTCTCTCTTTCCCTCTCTCAGGCTCACCCCACTGACTTCATGCACTGCTCCATTCGGACTTGCCTGGGCAGGTGCCTCCGGTGCAAGGGGCTCAATGGGGTGGAATGTGACAGCGGCGGGATGTTTGAAAAGGAGAGCAGAGCCACTCTGGCTTTGCTCTCCTATTCCCAACGCTGCGTTCAGGGCGGAGCTCCTTGCACCAGAGCATGCAAGTCAATGGGATGATCCTGCAGGGCCTTGCCTCAAACGCAGTGGCAGCAGGATTTTTTCTCACCCCTGAATTGTGCCCTGCTGCTCACCTCCAGCGCCCCCCTGCCGCCTCTTAGCGCCCCCCTGCCGGCCCCCTTGCCTCTCAGTGCCCCCCTAAGGCAACCCCCCCCAGGGGGCGGTACCACCCACTTTGGGAACCACTGGGTTAAAGTCTAAAAAAATTGCACAAAAGTATCAAGTTTTTCAGACTGGACCAGTCTGATAAATTTACCCATAACTACTGACTTTGCTAAAGATGCTTCATGGTTCAAATGCAGCTATTTCCTGAGATTTATCATACAGTCCTTTAAGATTAAGAATGTGACTGGTCAAGGAGATACACCAAACTGTTCTTTAATTTTTCAAATTCTGCCTTAATAAGATCAATAAAATAATTTAATTTTGAACTAGATTTAACACTTGGATAAACTGCAAAAACAGATCACCTAAACAATATCTTAAGAAGATTGCAATTAATTACAATGTAATGATTAAGTAAAATTTCTGTTAACATGGACTGAGCTTTTATCTGCAGAGTAATTAATAGAATCAATTTGTTTTGACTCACTTCAGTATCTCAGATCAGTATCTCTCAAGCTCCTCAAATTTAAGATGCAAGGATTTTAACTCTCAAAATTCTGGCTGGCTGGGGAATTCTGAGAGTTGAAGTCCATGCATCTTAAACTTACTGTGGTTGAAAAATACTACTCCATACACACTGAAACTAAAGGCAGAGCTCTGCCTTTATTAATTCATGATATTATCATAAAATTTAAAAACAAATTATTACCAGCACAATTTTAGCTTTCTTGAATAGTTGACCAGTCAAATAAGTATTTAATTAACCTTTCTCTACCACCAAACTAGTGGAAACTATTATTCAGAACAGAGCAAACAGCTTGTCAAGATTCAATTTGATCACTTAAAATTTTATTCTACGGAAAATAAAAATAAAACAAATAAACAAGTCTGCTTAACATAGATGGATCATTTTTTTCCTAGATATATCCTAACTAGAGTCACTGAATATATTTTTTTAAAAAGATTATTCAAGTTACAACATTTTTCAGATATTAAAAGCAAGCAGCTAAGCAGATATATTGAAATGCTACTTCGTAATATATATTTGTTGCATCATATTGATTTAGAAATGTTGAATATATATTCTGAGAAAATATATTCATGGAATAATAGTTTCTGACAATTCTATGTAAGCTGAGAAAGACTTCTTTCAGATATTCTAGGAGACATTCTGTCATTAATGTGGAAATATAAGTGTAATTACCTAATTAAGTATCAGATGTCCTGCAAAAGTTATGACCATCATAACAAGGAGAGTATCAGCAAATTTTCTGTAGTAAATCTTACCCTCTTTTCTATCTATAGGTTTTGACACATTTGTGTCAAAGTTCTGCATCTGTTGCCCCTTGAAACAGTGGAGATGTTCCTCTTCTATCAGATTACTTTCTTCTTCTTCTAGTGGTTGCCATGTGCCATCAATAAACCATTGTCCACGCATCACAGGAATCTTTTCAGATTCTAAAAAGGAAAGAAACAGAATGATATTAGGATCCAATGTAGGCTAAAGCAATGTAGTTGAATCTATTTAAGTAACGACGGACAACACATCAAATTCAATGTATTTGTTTTCTAAGATTATACAGTATATTATAATATTACCCTGATGCCTTGTAAAAAACCAATAAGAAAAAAAAAATTATTAGGCTACCTGTGTCTGATGAATCCTAATGATGAAACAGGTAAGTGATCAATGTCACTGAGAAACATCAGACAGAATATAGGTAGTCCTCAACTTATGACTATAAATGAGCCCAAAATTTCCACTGCTAAGCAAGGTAGTTGTTATGTGAATTTTGTCCCATTTTGCTACCTTTCTTGCTAGTTGTTAAATGAATCACTGCAGTTGTTAAGTTAGTACCATGGTTGTTAAGTGAATCTGGCTTCCCCCATTGACTTTGCTTATCAGAAAGTCATAGTGCAAAACTGTCACAAATACATGTCAATTGCTAAGCATCCAAATTTTGATCACATGACCATGGGGATGCTGCAATGGTTGTAAATGTGAAAAAACTGTTATAAGTCATTTTTTTTAGTACTATTGTAACAGTCACTAAATGAATGGTTGCATGTAAAGGACTTCCTGTACTTCAAGAGCTGCACTGATTGTCAGCTGGCTTCTCGGTGCAGTTAAGCTGCTAGTTGCTATTTTAAAAACTTTTCGTGGTTCCTGACTTGGAAATTTATGGAACTGATGAAGTTAAAGTAGTTGTTGCACTAAGCTGGGGGAGGGGTTATTATTATCTCTCTAGATCAGGGCTGTCCAACCTTGGCCCCTTGAAGCCTGGCGGACTTCAACTCCCAGAATTCCCCAGCCAGCTTTGCTGGCTGGGGAATTCTGGGAATTGAAGTCCGCCAGGCTTCAAGGGGCCAAGGTTGGACAGCCCTGCTCTAGATCATAGATTGGGGTTGTTGTTGTTTTTTATCATGACTCCAATTTTTATGGGATGATAATGTATTCTTTGCCCTTTAGCTATCGTTTTAATCACAATTACATATTGGGGACTTTTATGCTATTCAGAATTGGCTGAAAGGAGCATACAAGCCCTATTAATAAACAAGCAAGCATATAAACACTTATAATGTGTCGAATTTAGGTGCATGAAAAACAAAACACCTGGTTTCTTAATTACGTACAAAAATGATGAAACATTCACAATCAGACAATTAGTTCCTCTTTCATCACTTTACATAGCATTTATTGATCTTAGATGTGCTTCTCTTTTCATTTCTACATCCAAACTAGTCCAGAAACTGCTTTTTCCCCAACTGATAAAAGATTATTTTTTCTTATACAAGATATATGAAAACTTTTGGATGAATTTATTGTTAAATTTATATGCTGCCCATCTTGCCTAGAGGATGAAGGTGTGATATAATGTGCAAGGATACCACACCAAGGAAATTCCTGTCAAGAGGGGAGTGAGACAAGGTGTATTCTAGCTCCCCTTCTTTTTAATCTATATATTAACTACTTTATAGCCAAATTAAATACAGTAGTCCTCAAGACTATCATTAAGTGTTGTACGTTATGATTCTTGATTCTTAACGAATGTACCTTTTCTTTATGTATACTGAGAGTATTTACACCAAGACAAATTCCTTGTGTGTCCAATCACACTTGGCCAATAAAGTATTCTATTCTATTCTATTCTATTCTATTCTATTCTATTCTATTCTATTCTATTCTATTCTTACAACAGTTCATTTAGTGATCAAGTGAAGTTACAACGGCATAAAAAAAAAGTGACATGACTATTTTTCACACTTGAAATTGTTGCAGCATTCCCATGGTCATGTGATCAAAATTCAGAAGCTTGGCTCATATTTATGATGGTTGCAGGATCCCAAGGTCATGTGATCACCTTTTGCAACTTTCTGACGAGCAAAGTCAATGGGGAAGCCAGATTCACTTAACAACCGCGTTACTAATATTAACAACTGCAGTGATTCACTTAACAACAGTGGCAAGAAAGGTTGTAAAATGGGGCAAAGCTCACTTAACAAATGTCTCACTTAGCAACAGAAATTTTGGGCTCAATTGTGGTTAAGTCAAGGACTATCTGTAATTCAACAGGCACCAAGAAATAACATGTGCAAGTCTTAAGTAGTGTTTGGATATGGCTTGTAGAAAGACTGCCGAAAAAATATGAGAGAATCCCAATTCTATTATAAATTTTAGAAATTTTATTGTGTGAGAAGTTGATTCTCATGGCAGACTTCAGACACAGGTGTATTAAATCTATTCTTCAGAATCTCAAATGCATATTCAACAATAACAGAAGCTTCACAATTAGTCATAACTAAATAAATTGCTTTATTGAAAATAAGTTATGCATATAAAGATTTGTGTTTGCCCAAGCACATACATCAACCCCTATAAGCCTTATTGGTCATTGGTTTAAATCCTAAGCTTTTTATTTAGTCATTCCAAATTAATAAGACTTTGGGCCATTCTTTTCTCAGCTTCAAGATTATCTGGCATCTACTCAAGGTTTATTCATTGTTGGGTCTGGCTTAAGCGCTACGGTTCCCACCTTGCCTGCTTCAGCTTTTACATGCAGTATTTTGATAAAAGCAATGGAGATTACATATTATTCAGTGACTATTTGGACAATAAAATCAATAGGGTCAAAATATAATGATCTTAGATAAAGATAACAAATTCCAAATGTTATATCGACCAATTGTTGTCAGCAAAAGTTCAATAAGGGCAACCAAATGTACTGTAACTATGTTCTTTTTTTAACTTAGTCAAAGAAATAAAGCTTCCCTGAATGTTTACATTTATTCATTAACCCTTTCAAAGTCCCAAAAGTAGTTTGCTTATTATCTGTGCTTTTCAGTGAAAAACCTTCAGGATTTTAACATATTTCTTTAGTATCAATAAATAAATATTATCTTTTTATTTGTCATTGCTAAAAATATATTTCCAAATCTTAGCAGGGCTTTTATGTATATCCAGGAGAAACAAATTATCCAAATCAGTTTCCTGGTTAATATGTGTTCTGTCCGTCAGGGAATAAGTCATCAATCAGATCAATTTGTAATACATTTAAATCATCCTTTGAGTTAATTGTATAGACACCCACTGTTCTTATTTTATAACTTCATCAGAACATTTTTGTCAATTTTATTAAATATTTAATCTATTCTGTCCAAAAGCTTGGCTGAGAGATATTCAAAACTTTGCGCTAAAGATTTCTGTTTTATTTCCCTTATCTTTTGGCTCTAGTATCCAGTCTTCAAGGTCTCCTTATCATAAAAAAATAAACCAACCAATCCTGAAAAGGGACCTTGGTCTTACCTGAGACGCACCTTCTCAGATGGTGTAGACAGGATCCATGTGTGGGATCCATTTCCCCATGAAAAAATATCTTCTAAATAATTCCAAACTATAATTCCAAATCCCTCTGCCCCTTAAGCCACTGTTAACTTTCCAAAATCCATGTACTCTTTTGCTGTATAGTTCAAAAAAACCTATGTACTTTAAAAAATCTATTTTACATCATCATCTTTAAGGAGGAATACAGTAAAATCATGCCAGCGTGTAGGGTATTAATCTCTCCAATATACAAAAATAAATAAATAAAGTTATTAAGATATAAGGCTCAGTCAAACCTAATGTCCATATAGGCTGCTTTATGCATGTGAGCTTGATGTTGTAAACAACACTCATAAGCAGATCATAAAAATAGCAGTTTCCATGGTCTTCTCATGAAGAACGCTGTTTGGGATCATTCTGGATGATCTCAACAATCTTTGTTCTGCTCAGACTCAGTATCCAACTACAATTCCCCTCACAAAAGCTGTCTTGCTTCCAAGCAGAAGCCAGAAAGCTGTTAGCTTGCCATAGTGCTCATGGGAACTGTCTGATTTAGACAAAATCTTATGCATTATGTTTGGCTTTAATATGAATAAAGGTAGTCCTTGTTTAATTCTGATAGGACAGTAGCAATTTGCAGTTACAGTGGTGATGAAAAACTAATTTTGTAGCATTTAGGACCTTCACAGTGACCTGCATTTATGGCCTGCATTTATGACCTTTACAGTGTCCATCTTGCAATCAAGTTACATTACAGTAATTTAGGTGTTGTCCTGTACCTGACATGCTTTTCTCCCCCATCTTCAGTGGATATTGCCTAAACAAGCTGCTTCTTTCTGACCTACTTTTCTCTAGCCAACCCTTAAAATATGCTAACCACAACTTTGGTTCTGTGACATTAGTTAGTTGATTAGAAGCTGGCAGCTGCTGCCTGAATAATATATATATTATTGACTAGCCAAAGATTATTGAGCTGGAATTCCCAGTTCTCAGTATCTAAGCCTGATGCTTTAACTACTACACCACAAAGACTTTGAAATTTAGTTTCACACAGGCTATGTCACAAGAGTTTCTAGTGCTTTCCTTTTGATGTGTATTCCCAATATGTACCTGATTATTTTCTTGTAATCATTTCTTTTACAATAATACTTCTCTTCTTGATAATTATCCCAGCATTGGGTTGGGCATTCCAAAAAGCATGGGAATGGGTGAAAAGGACTATAAGATTTGCCCTTTTATCCAACTTCTTCATGAATCAAATTCTGGAGACCTTCCCTGCCATTTGGGCCCACCTGGCTATTTTGCGTCATATTTTGATTTTGTAAAAAGAAAAAAGGAAGAAAAAAGAAAGCTGAAGTAAAATCATAAGCACAATTGTGGTCACATAATTTTTCAATTAGCGAATATTTTGCTTAACCAGTGAGTTGCCAGCCCAGTTGGCTAAACCACAACTACATGTGCTACAAATTTCTGTGCCCCACAAAATATTCTGCTACCACTTCAAAACATTACCACTAAAATTCCTTCCCATTCTCCCATTTTTATCTCACAAATAAAACCCAGAATAACATAGGACAAAAACTGTCAGTCCCTTCTTTTTTGTGATATAACCACATCCCTGAATAACAGAAGTCAGAAGGCTATATGGCAGATCTCATCCTTTAGATCAGGGGTGTCAAACTGTTTTAAATATGTAGCAAATTATTTTTTTCTTATCAACAGTCCAAACAAATGCCCCACAGTATACCACTATAAAACCCTTTGCTAGCATCCTTCTTGGTCTTGAAACTACATCAATGAACAAACAGCCTTTATGTACTGTAAAAGCAACCAGCATAATAGTAAAATTTCATCAGACTCATTTGAAAACTATTTTGTTATACTAGCTCCCACTTACAGTAATCTACACTGTCAACAAAGGGGAGCATATGTCAAACTAGAGAACATAACAGCTTTCATGTTTCCTCTGAAAGACTACAAAAGATATAATAAAACAAATATATACACATATAATATCTCAAAATTAGTGAAAATGAAACTATGATATACTTCCTTTTCATGTCAGAGGAAAAGACTGAATTTCTCTGGATAGCACAAGGATAATAAAGCAGTAAGAGAACCCAGACCGAAACAAAGATATTGATTTGACGGTTGCAAATACAGTATAAGAAAGCTCATAAGCAACAACTAACAATATCCAACTTTCTGTGACAAGTATTCAACTGCACCGTTCATCATGTTCTTTCAAAGGTATCACATTTCAACACACACAATTTAATATGTGGAAAATCGGCCCTTCCTTTCCTCTGAGTCATGAAGGAAACATTATTGAAGGCAATCTCCATGGATATATCATGACTGCATGGAATCAATGAAATTTCATATACACACATACCCTCCTATGTAGTTAAAAATTATATCATGAATTTTGTAGAAATCCTCATGAATATACAAAGATTCCCCATTGTAGGTAATCATGTTGTATATACCATGATTTAAAGAGGTGAAGAACTGCACATAATCTTTTCACACTGAATTATATTATGTCAATATATTACTGGAATAAGAATCCATTTGACTAACAAGTCCAAACTCTTGCTCAGTATAAGAATCCATATTAAAATGGCATCCACTGAGCAAAAAGGAGCAAACTATAACCCTATGCTAATCTGTCATCAGAGTCCCGTTCTAATTTCAATTCAGACATATATTATGAGATTATTGATAATAAATATAACAATGGTAGATATCACTATAGAGATGAAGCCTTGCAGTTTGGTTAAATGCTTTAATTTTCTTGGGATTATTTTTTAATAGAACACAATTTTAGGAGGTATTCAGATCGTGGTATCAGGCTACTCCACAGAAACCTCCACAGGCCAATAGAACACTGTTGAAGTCTGCTGGGCCTCATGAATCAAATAAGTGTCTCTGTGCCAAATCATGTGGAATTGTAAAGATTAAAACTAGCACTTTTGACTGTACTCAGAAACATATGGGAAGCCACTACAGGGCCTTGAGCAGAGGTTTCATGTGCTTATGTCATTCTGCACCAGCCAAAACCCAACATGGTTTATTGGGTAAATCGAACAAAGCATGACAAATCATGTAGAATGCATTGCAATAGTGCAAAGAAGTAATGGGATGTGAGTTGTTCTTGAGAGATCCAGTAGAGCTACAACTGGCACAACAGCTGGAGATGCACAAACTATACCCTGAACACAGAGTTCACTTGCTTGTTCTGTAGATCCTAGAAATTATAGATCTTTTTTGGGGGGACTAATGATAGCAATGCAAAAGGTAATAATGGCAACATTAAACTGTTCCTACAACGCCTTTGTTCTTTAAAAATCTCATCTTTCTTTTTCAGGATATTATCAACTGCATAACAACCCAAACATCACCCTAGATTCCTTATTGCTTGATTTAACAATGAGCCAACAGGTACTAACTAATGATGCTTGAAGACAAGAAAAGAGCAGATTCATAAAGTGATAAACCAACTTTTAATATTTTATTAGTTAGTTCTTTTCTTAGATTTTAAAGCCATTCAACTACAGAAGGTTATCCAATAGGATGTACATACACTTGCATATGGAAGTGTGTGTGTGTGTGAGATCATTGCAATTAAGGAAAATAATAAACAACTTATATATAAGAAACAAAATTATAAAAAACTATCAAATTTGGGAAGATGCTCTACAGTAGAAGAAAATAATATATAGAGAGAAGATGCTGACATGTATTTGAGACATAAGTTTTCTTCTTAGTTGACAGATGAAGAGTGAGTCTGTAAGATGAATCAAGGGCTCAGTGATTCTGCATATTTGAAGAATGGCCAGTGAAAGCAGAGGAAAAAAAGGGACAGCCTATTAAGGGCAAAGATGCTGGACATCTATTCTTCATCTTTCACCTGGCCTATAACATTTATGTTGTATGTTTACAAGCGGGATTCTAGCATTTTATTTTTAAAGGAACAAGCACATCTATACAGAATCCTAAGCCTACAAATGTGATACAGGTTTGGTTGAGAAGTAATGGCTACTGAATGTAGGGGGAGCTGATTTTCTTGTCCAAGGTTTAGAGACCGGTCCTTTGATTAGCCTTCCAGCCCCATCCAATTCAGCCTTACGAGTTGACCCTCACCCTACTGGACATCACTCCTAAGGCACGCAAAGAATTTTAGCCTCTTAGTTAAGTGATGGCAAGGCATCCCCTCTCCATAGAGAATAACAGTTCGAGTCCCCAAAGGATGCTCACTTGCACCCAGCCAGCATCCAGCAGGAGCTTTGGTTAAAACGGGAGAGGAAGAGGAGGAGGAAGCCACTTACGGTTCCAATAGACCGGGTAGCACTCGCAGTTGGCAACATCCACCTCGTAGAGACCGCCACGGACACAAACGGGCTCAGGGGTCGGGATGCTGGAAGAAGGCGCGAGTTTCTCAGGCCTACCGGTGGTGGGGCTGGACGAGCCTTGGTCGTCGGGGAGCAGAAGGGCGCGGTAGGCCAGTTCCATGCGCAGCGAGTCGTAGCCGATAAACGGCTTCCAGCTCTTGCGGTCCTCGCGGTAGAACCAGCGCACCTCCTCGGCTCCCAGCTCGCGGACCACCTCGTAACTGCGGGCGGAAGCCGAGTTGCCCCCGCCGCTCAGCCCGCTCCCGGATCCGCGGGCTCGTTTGCGGCGCTCGGCCGGGACGCAGCCTTGGATGGAAAAGCCGCTGCCGGCGCTCTCGCTGCTGGCCAAGTCGCCGGCGGCTTCCTCGTCGCCCGCTTCGTCCAGCTCGTCGTCGTCCTCATCCTCGTCGTCGTCGTCGTCGTCGTCTTCCTCCTCTTCCACCCCGTCTTCCAACCGGCCCAACGGCGGGTAGAGCAGCCCGGCAGCGCCGCCCGCGTCCATCAGCGCGGCGCCGCCGGGGTCGAGGAGCAAGAGGCGGTTGCTGCGCCGCCGGCGCCGCCTCTGGGGGGGAGAAGCGTTCAGCGGGGAATGATGACGCCGGTGGTGGTGGTGGTGGTGGTGATGCGGCCGCCGGTGAGGGAGAGGCGGCGGCGGCGGCAGCAGCGGCGGCAAGTGCTGGGGACCTTCCGGGTGGTCCGGCACCGCTTCCTCGGAGCCCGAAGACGACAACCGCGCCGGCGACTGAGGTGAACGCGGGTGCGGTGGCCGCTCCTCGCCGGCCGCCTGAGAATCGCTCAGCGGTTTCTCCTCGGAATCGCAGAGTCTCCTCGTGCCTTTGCGGAAGCCGCCCAGACAGGCGGCGCTCGGGTTCGAAGCGGAGGAATTCCCGTTGGTGGCGGCGGCGACTGCCGCCTCAGGGTTCTCCATGCCGCTAACGCGGAAGGGAAGGGAGGGGAGAGGGGCTTGAAGCAAAGGCCGGGCGAGCCTGTCCTCCGGCTCGGTCTCTTGGCTCCGGCTCCGCCTTAGCTCCGCCTCACGCAACCTCCCAGGTTTGCAAGCCATCGGCGGGGTGAGGGGAAGAAAGCGCATGCGCATCCGAAGGAAATTGTTCCTGGAGGGCGCAAAAAAGAGACCGTAGAAATGCCACGTTTACGGTGGGCGAGGAGGAGACGGGCCTTCCTTCTTTCAGTGGTTCCTCGCCATTACTTCCGGAGCGGTGGCCTGGTTTAGGCTGCGGGCCCTTTTTTTGTACACGATAAGAACGTATTGAAGCGATGGATTGTAAGAACCACCCCCCGGGCTGTTAAATGAATCAAACGTTTCCAGTCTGAGAATGAACTCAAAGGAATCCCGTTGCAATGACAATCCCTGTCCCCCATGGAGTCATCGTTTCGGAGAGATTTCCTGATCAGATTCCTCAGTTGAAATATACTTGAAGATTAATAGTTCGAGTTGGTAGCTGGGTTGTTTTGTTTCAGCTCGGAGCTCGGCAGTTTTGTCACCTTTCGAGGAGACTTCACCAATTTGCATCACATAAAAATGGTATTTAAAGGGCAGTGCTCGGACAGACGAGCACACTTCAAAGTGTACTGACGATGTCTCCTCTAATGGTGACGAAATGTTTGCAACCAAATTGCCGAACTCGGAGCTCAAAGACCTTAGTG